AGTCTATGGAATTCAATCCAGGGCTCTAAAAGAAAAAGCAACACTGTAGAATGAATTTAAGATGATTTACATAATTTACCTTGTTTGTTGTTGTTAGGTGCCACTGAGCTAAGTACGACTCATAGAGACCCTATGAACAAAAGATCTGAACCCAGTCCTGTCCTGCACAATCCTCACAGTTTGGGACACACAAGAGCCCTCTGCAGCAGCCACTGTGTCATTTCACCTGATAGAAAGCCTTCCTCTTCTTCACCAACCCAAGACTAAAAAGCAGCCTGATGGTGCAGTGCCAAAAGATTAAATTCCTCAGCTGCTAACAGAGGAGTGAGTGCTTTAAATCAGGCAATCTGTAGGAGAACATGTGACAGGAAGTCTGTTTCCATGAAGAAGTACAAGCTTGTAAACTACTCTATGGGCAGTTCTACCCTCACCTGTGTTGTCAACATTGCTGTGTACAGTCAAGTTAGAACCGAGCCAGAGATGATCCTCCATCAGGTTTTCAGAGACAGTAAATTGCATAGGGAAACACTGCTCATCTTTCTCCCATGGAGCAGCTAGTAAACTCAGACCACACATTTTTGTGTTGGCAGCAAAATTCCTTTACCACTAAAGCATCAAAGCTCCCCACCCTTTCCTATAGGGTCTTATTAGGAATTTATGGCAATCAAAAAGATTTTGGTTTTTGAGAGGAAACTGCTCATACAAAGATTAATTAAGTGGATTAATTACACTGAAAATATTCAGAACTTACTTTCATAATGATTTTCTACTTTGAAAAGGTACTTTCCAAGTAAAATACATAATTATCCAATTGAATTTTTTGAAAGACAATAGGATGAAAGGTCCCTGTGCAGAGCATCAGGTGGTTAAGTTGAGGTTGAGTACGTCAAAGGTGGGGATGCTTCCTGCTCCCCAATCTAGCCCCTATATATGAGCCCACAATATTTTCTTTATATGATCAGACTCCATCATAGGGCAGTACTGCTTGCCTTGCCTAAGAGGATTATGAAAACACGTTTGGTGATTTCAGGTCTGTGTGCAAATGCAGCACCTGCAGATAGATGCATTGAGTAACAGGTTAGGCTAGGGATGGGAATGTTCAGGGAGGCCTCTGCTTCTGAATGTGAGCCCTATCTAGTCAGTGATGGTGAGACCACCGCACAATGAAATGTTCTAGGAACCAGATGGTGGAGCTTGTGCTGAACACAAGAAAAAGATACTGTCATTCCTATGTCCAAAGCTCTCAGTAAAACTAAAAGCTAGCAAGACTCTACACAATCCTACATTATTATCTCTTCTCCTCATTCTCTTCCAGCAATGCCCTTGCATGTAATTCGTGGAACTGGCCAGGCACATGACTATCTCAGAGCTTTTGCACTGGCTTTCCCTTTACCTGAAAGGCTCTTCTACTAGATGTGTGCATAACTCTGACCCTTTAATGCCGCTTATTGAGTAGTCTTTATCTAATCCTGATGTCATATTATTCTATATATAGTCCAGGTTCTCAGATTATTTTGCTCAGCATATAAACTGAGTAAGTATGGAAAAAAGCATATAACCTTGATATTTACCTTTCCAGATTTTAAACCATAGTGTTTTCTTATGCTCTTCTGACAACTGCTTCTTGGTCTACATACAGGTTTTATAAAGAGTACAGGTAAGTGTTCTCAAATTCCCTTTCTTTTCAGTATTACCCATAATTTGTTATTATGCACATAGCCAAATGACTCTGCACAGGCAATAACAAACAGACATCTTTCTAGTGGTCTCTGCTTTCAGCCAAAATCCAATTGACTTCAACAACAATGTGAGTCATTCTACTGTATTTCCTCCAAAAACATGTTAGATTCTATAAATGCATGTTGATTCCTCCTAATGTGTGTTAAGGTTCCTTAGTCTAAATGTTATTGTATCCAAATATATGATGATTCTTCTAGCAGTCTCTGTTGCTGTTGTCAAGTGCCATCAAGTTGTAGACGACTCATAGTTGACCCTATGAACCAATGACCTGAATACTTGTATAACTTTCATCGTTTCTCCATGTTCATAGAATTTCTGGAGGCAAGCTATTTTGGAAGTGGATGCCACTCCTGCTTCCAAGCTTGTTTTAATGGAGGAACGCCATCAAACACTGTCCATGTGGGGTAACCATTATCGCATTTGACACATCAGTGTCTCAATGTTTAGCATCACAGCAAATACGAGTTACCTCTGTATGGCAAGTGGACAGACCAGTGCTATACCACTTAGGAGAATGTTTGACCAAAAAGAATTAAAACCAGGCCTGAGGGCCGCAGATTAAAATCACCCACCTTTGGCTTGGTAGCATCATTTTCCATCCCATTGGGCCAACAGGGCTCTCTCTTTATAGATATTATATATCCTATCAATTAAGTCCTAAAGTCCTGACTGAGGAAAATGGAATACAGCTGTGTTGTTGTTGTTGTTAGATGCCATGGAACTGATTGACTTACAGCCACCTAACAACAACAGAAAGGAACTCTATCCCAAACCACTGTTACATCTCCACCATGCTCAAGCCAATTGTCACAGTTAGTGACAATCTGTATCATTGAGAGCCTTCTTCTCTTTTGCTTTTTCCAGGATGGTATCTTTTTCCAAGGGCAGGTCCCTCCTGACAACATACTTAAAGTATGTGAGATGAAGTTTAAGATATTAAGTATTTTTTGCCATCATCACACTTTTAATGTATCATTTCTGGTTTTTTTTCCTTTTTTTATTCTCAAGATTTCACACGCATATGAATTAGCTGAAAAATATGGTGTGGGTTAAAGACACCTTAATCCTCAAAGTGACAACTTGAGTTTTTGACATATTCAAGAGTTCTTCTTCAGATCTATCCAATATAATACATTCTTTGCATACTTGATAAAAAACAAATAGACATCTTCCTGGTATACTCTGCTTTCAACCAAAATGCATCTGAAATCAGCAGTGATATTCCTAGTGCCTCTTCTAAACCCAGCTTGTATTTCTAGCAGTTCTCTATTGAAGAACTGTTGTAGTCGTCTTTGGATTTTGTTTGTAAGTAATATTAGCAATACTATTTGGTAACTTCCACATTTTGTTGGATCACCTGTTTTGGAAATGAGAATATAGACTTCTTTCATTCAGTTGGCCAAGTAAATGTCTTCCAGATGTCTCAACTGCAAGCAGTTTGAACCCTCCATTGCTCTAAGGGAGAAAGATGGGCAGTAGGGGGTGTGTCACTGTGACAAGAACTTATTACCTCAGAATGTCTGCTGGAAGGTCAACTATGAGTTGGTTCCAACTATACAGTACATAGCAACAACATATTGTCTGTAAACCAAATACTACACTGAAAAAACTCTTAAATCTTGCTAATTTTTATTTCACATGGCCCACAGCACTAAGTGAAGAATGAATTTTTATACTAATCTTGCAATTAAAACAATACTTGCAAGAATTGGCCAGCTGGAGGTAAGAATCTCCCAAATGATCAGTCTAAACTTCAAAAACTGACATGTTTTTGTTTCACCTTGGGAATAAAATAACCTGCCTGCATTTAACAACTGAAATCCCTGAATGACTACTATGTTTACTATGGTTCTGGACTGTTAGAAATCAGTATGTGTACTCCTACCACAGGGTACAGGAAGTCTTTCATTTTAGAAAGCTTAACTCTACTTTCTGGAGTGACATGGAGGTTTGAGGGGAGAATAGAAAGAGTTGTTGTTTTTAGGTGCTGATGAGTTGCTTGTGACTCATAACGACCTTGTATACCACAGTTCTGAACACCTGCCCTATCTTGAGCCAGTCTCATTGACTTTGACACACCTCTCATTGCCAGTTACTGTATCAACCACCTCATCCAAGGTCTTCCTCTCCTGCACTGTCCCTCCACTCATCCAAGATGTCCTTTTCTAAGGACTGGTCCCTCCTGGCCGCGTGCCCAAAGCACGTGAGACAGAGCTTCAAAATCCTTGCCTTCAAGGAGAAATTTGGTTTGACCCTCTCCAAGAGGGTCAACCTCTCCAACCTATTTGTTTTCTTGGCAGTCCATGGTATGTTCAACACTCTTCTCGAGCACCACAACTCAAAGGCACCAATTTTTCTGTCACCCTTACTAACTCTGTTATAACCGTGAAGACCATGACCTGGATCAGGCTCACCTTAATCTCTAGACTGACATCGTTGCTTTTCAATACTCCAGGGAGGTCTCTAACAACAGATTTTCTCAATGCAATTCATCTTTTTATTTCTTGCCTGCAGGTGCCAGAGTGTTGATTGTGGAGGTGAACAAGCTGTAACTGTCAAATGCAATCTCTTCTCCACCCGTCATGGTGCTGACAATGGTCCAGAGGTGAGAATCTTTTTCTTTATGTTCAGCTGCAATCCATATTGAAGACTACAGCCCTTGACCTTCTGCAGCAAGCACTTCACGTGCTCCTAAGTTTCAGCAAGGTTGTGTTATATGCATAACTAGGCTGTTAATGAGTCTTCCTCCAATCCTGATGTCACATTCCTCCTTATAAAATCCAGCGTCCCAAATAATCTGTTCTGCATATAGACTGAAAAACTATGGAGACAGGACATATTCCTGATGAACTCCTTTCATGATTTTGAACCGTGCAGTGTTTCCTTGCTCTGTTCTGAGGAATGCTTCCTGGTCTGAGTATAGGTTTTGCCTGAGCACAATTGTGTGTTCTGGGATTCCCATTATTCACAAGGTTAGCCATAATATGTTGTGATCCACCCAGTCAAATGCTTTTGCATAGGCAATAAAACACAATAGACATTCTTCTGGTACTCTTTGCTTTCTTCCAAGATACATCTGACATTTCTGATAATGTTTCTAGTACCATGACCTCTTCTAAAACCAGCCTGTATTTCTGGTAGTTTTCTGTTGATGTACTGATAATCTTCAGCAAAACAGGAAAAGAGTAGACAGATAATGAACAGTGCATTGGCACAGATGAGAGGAAGAACGGTCTGAAAGGAACATATAGTTAGGCATTATATGTATGACAACAGTCTGGAATAAGAGGTGCACTGCAAAGTGATCTGGAGGAGGGGAGAGAAAGGGATAAGGAGGAAATTGTACAACAATGAAAAAATAAACTGTAAACTTTGTTAAAATCACAATTAAAATATTTTTATTTAAAAAAAAAGAATGGTGCGCATCTTTAATTACACACTCACATGCCTACTGAATAGTAGATTATTCAGTATATGTTCTGCCACATTCAAGAAGTTGTCAGATTGTACACAACCAAACCTTAGCTAGTGGCAATTAAAGCTTTAAGGGGCAAAAAAAACTGGAGAAAATATTTTAATGACAGTGAAAATAACAGTTCATGTGTAACAGTAAAGTTCATAAATTGTATTCTTAAAAAAATGTATCATAAGCTTTCTCACCTAGAAACTAAACTAGTACCATACAGTAAAAAAAAAAAAAAAGTTTTAAGAACAAAAGATAAAGTTTCTATGAAGAATTCAATTTAATGGTGCTTAAATGAAAAGCAATGAAAGGATAAATATATAACAAATATATAATGTTGTATTTCACTGTTAATAGTTACGATCTACCCTTTTTCTTTCCATATTTTAACTTTTCAGTGTATCAGACTTGTTTTTCGTTGCTCCTTAGTTGAATTCCAATGCTGTATGCCCTAACAGCTGGTATTTGGGGTGGTGAAAGCACTCAAATAAGACAAAGAAAACCCATTCTTACTTCTCTGATAGCTGCCAAAAAACAACAGAACACTGCATCAGAAAGCTGTCCTTGCAAATGTTATTTGAACAAAGAAGTCTTACTAGACACCTACGATTCAGACTTCTGCCATGTCTTACACAATTATCCTTAAACTTTCAAATTGAATTAGCTGTTCTACTAATAAGTTCTCCTAATTGTCATGATTAAATACACATTTCTCTTGTGAAGAGTAACTACTCACATAAATTTTCTGTTAAGCCTGAATATGACATTTCCTTCTCCTCCAACACACAAAAGTAACAAAACTATGACTTTGCTAGGTATCTTATTTAAAGAAGGTTTAACAGTGATAATTTAAAACAGTAAAAGTTGCACTAAACATGAAACATAAAAATGTTAATTCCATTGATCACATATATATGAATACCTTATTGTAATGGTTTCATATAGATTTCTTATAAATATTGTCAAATTAAAATTTAGCTCAACAAATATTTATCACACAATATAGAAGAAAATTAATGAGTAATAATCTACAATATATGTATACATATTTGTGGAGCACATAGGTACGAAAGGCAACAAGGAAAAACACAGGAAGGACTGCAAAGAGTGTTGTTACACTGTGGGTATTATAGTAATAAAACAAAGTATGTATGAATGGTTGAATGGGATACCAATTTGCTCTAAACTTACACTCAAATAATAACACAATAAATTACAAAAAAACCCACCTGCAATAAAATAATTTCCAAGTATTTTATCACTAAATAAAATTTTACAACTATATTTATAGGGAGCTCTGGCAGCTCAGTGGTAAAGAACTGCACTGCCAATGCAAAAGTACAAGGTTCAAATTCACCAGCTGCTCTTCATGGAAGAGAGATGGGCAATCTCCTGCTGAACAATTTACTGCCTCTGAAAACATGTTGGAGGGTCAGTTATGGGTCAGTTCTGACTGGACAACGCACAACAACTGTGATTTTATATTAGTGTTTTTTGTTGTTATTGTGTAACAAAGAGTCAGAACCCAACGATAGCGGACCCTCAGGTGGATTTTTAAAGGCAGGTAATCACAGGGGAGGAGATTGCCCATCCTTCTTCCACGATATTAGTGTAACTTGATATATTGATACTGAATATACTGCACACTTGCAATGTTAAATTTTATTACCTAATGATTCCAATATATTTGTAATCTTCATTGTTCACAGACACAGAAAGATTTAACAATTAAGCAGTTAGTAGCCAAAGAGGCAAAAGAATAACTTATAAATGGAAAGCAAACAGATAGGGTAAGGATTGAATTAGAATGAAAAGTGACCCCAAGTGCAGTCTGAAAAAAGATACCCTATCCCTCTAACATTGTTATATGCTTTTCACCAAAACAGAGGGCATCTCCTACTGAAACACCACACCCTATAGTTAAACTTTAATCACAACATTAGAAGGCATACCTGTGGTGAGAGAAATTTTTCAATACGCTTGGCTATAAAATTCTTCTCCAATATGGAGTTGACTGATGGTCTATCCCTGGGATTTCTTTTAAATAATTGAGAGAGCAAATTACGGAGATCATAGGAATAATGCAACGATACAGGGGGGAAAGATCCAGATATTATCTTCAGTACCAGATTTTTCATATTTCCAGCTTCAAACTGAAATCCAGAAATATATTAGTATACATGAAGCATCCATAAATGGAAAATGCTAATATCAGTAATGAACTTTTTTAAACTTAATGTTATTTCCTTATCAATATATTTAAGAACCATAATTATCTAATTTGTAATCCTTCTGTACTATCTAAAGATTCATTGGGTTATCTGTAAATATATACCAAAGAGAATATTATTGTTTTCATTGTGTATCATCAAAGAGGAAGTGACCCACAGATGACTCTTCTGTGGGTTTTCACAGGTAGTGAAATGCATGGCAGAGACTATCCATCCTTCTCCCATGGAGCAGCTGGTGGATTCAAACCACATGTCTTTAGTTTGGCAGCACAACTCCTTACTACTAAGAGCCACCAGACCTCCTTAGGGAGTATCAATATACATTAAATGAAATGCATGTGGTATAATAACAAGAGCTAAATACTACTTTAGGACTAAAAGTATCTGGGAAAAATTTATCATATAAAAATACTAATAATCAAAATCATTTTCTTCTTTAACACTGCTCACTACAATTATTATCTGTGTGTTTAATGTTCCTAAAAGTCATGTGATCAACAATATGGTAAATATTCTAAGGTCAAATACAAACTACATCTACTGGGATGTATATTTTAAGGTGAAATACTATCATAAGTTCTATATCCAATGGGAACCTGAAAAGAGGGGTAATGGTTGGCACAATTCAATGATGATTCAGTTTATAAAGCACAATGTATAGGAATGATTGTATGAAATATAATGTCAATGAAGGCAAGTATAAAACACAAAGAAAACATTAACTACTACGTACATAAATGAAACAATGTGCATGAATAATTAGATGTGTACCAATAAAAATATGAAGGTGGAAAAAAGAAACCGGAAACAGCACAGTTCCATTCTGAATGAAAAGTTTTTTATTCTTCTAAAAGAACAGTTAAACATTAAGTAAAATATTCTATAATTTATATCAATCGATGAAAGTGATTTTATAATTAATAATTTCAATTTGATAGGCGGAAGGAGGGTGGGTAAAGGAAACAGGAAAGATCCAGTGTGAAAAACAATGTATACGAACATTAAAAGCAAACCACTATGAAATAAATATTTAAGAAAAACCCTCAAAAAATATGGAAACAGCCCAAAACCCCAAAACAATCAAATGGATTGAGAAATTGTGGTACAGTAACACAACGGAATACTATGCAGCATGCAGGAGCAATAATTCTGAAAATCACTACCTATTTTGGGAAGGGTTGGAGAGCATTATGCTAAGCCAACTAACTTAGTCCCATAAGGACAAAACAGTAAATAAGACCATTATTGTAGGAATAGAAAGATAACTATTAAAATGTATATGAAGATACAAGAAGGGGAGGGTACAAACAGAGTGATGAGGATGTCTGGTGGGGTGTACAATTTGGTGGGGGGGTTGTACAATTTGATGGGTAGAGGGAGGGGTGGGTAAAGGAACTAGAAAAGATCCAATGTGAAAAAAAGTTATATAAACTTTTTAAGTAAACCAGTATAAAATGTAAATGTTATTTTCAAAAAAAACAATAGTGACAATTTAGATAAAAGCAGGCCAAGAGAAAAGAAAAATAAACTTTAAAGTAATACAAAAGCATACAATCATTAAAAATTATAAGAAAAAAATCTCAATTGTATCAAGTAATAATAATCAACCATTTGAGGGAAAAAAGAATTTTTTATCAAATGTAAACAAAGTCTAGAACAAAACAATATTGCAAGTAGTATTTTGAAAGGCTTCTTGATTATGATAAATAATTGCTTATGATTTTCACTTATTTTTATTTTTGTGTATTCTGTACAATTTTGCATAACGAAAATGTTAACAGAAAAACATTTTTAAGTGCAGTATTTAGACTCAACAAGAAAAAATATTACTTTTTGATGTGTTAATGTGCTCCTTCAAAATAGCTGTCAGAGGGAAAACTTTAATATCTCTGAATTAGAATATTTAAAATTACAAAATTCTTCTATTAACATATTTTTGTTAGTGGGTACTGTACAGTCAGAACTGACCCACAGCTGGCTCTCTGGGGGTTTTCGGGGTTATTAATCGCACAGGAGGAGACTGTTCATCTTTCTCGCATGATAAACATATCAGACAAAAGCATTTCAATAATTTCTGAAACCAAATAATATTAAAATTTTCAGAGGATCTGCCATTATGAAACTAAAAAATCCTCTGTATAAGAACATCAATTTTAAAGAAAAAAACCAAATCAATTTCACATTAAATAAGGTTTTAACAAAATCTCAATCTATCCTTGGTAATAATTTTATAGGGAAAAGGTGAACTATTTGAACAAGAAATATACTATAAGCATATATAAAATATACACATATATATATGTTAAATGAAAATAATTTTTAATTTAGGCTTTGGAAAAAATAAGAAACCAAATAGCTGCCTTAAAAGAATTTATAGTACTAGAGGCTTATCTAAAAGATACATAAAACTTAAAATATTACAGTTTTTAATACATAATCTTATAATACTTCAGAAATGTTTACTTACTGCATGCTTAAGTGTGCACATCTCATAAAGGACACACCCCAGAGCCCAAATGTCACTAGAAGTAAGAAAAATAAATCTCCTAAGGATAAAAATTACTTTAAAAAATTTAGTTTTTTCATTTAAAAGTAACAAATACAGCATTTAAATGCTTGGGTGGGAAGCATGATATAAAATGTTTCCTCTAAAATGAAAAAAATTTATTACCTTTTATATAAAACACTTCCTATATAATACAAAATAACCAAACCACAAACCAGCTGTCCTAGGTTAGAAAAACAATGGACTGCCACACAATTATTTTCAAAGTTTAAGTACTCTTTAAATTTTATGTATATTCCATTTAGTTAGTTGTATTTAGCAAAAGTCAAAACACATATTTTGGCATCAGTAGTGCAATTCCTTACCACTAAACCACCTAAAGGACAGTTTCTTGATTAATAATATAAAGCTAACAAACAAATGAAAAAATATTCAAAATCCCTAGCTTTAAGAGAGATGCAAATTAAAACAATTATGACATATCCTCTCACCCCAGTAACTACAGCAAAATTCAACAAAGCAGCAAACAACAAATGCGGGAGAGCTTGTGGAGAAACTGGAACCACTATTCACTGCTGGTAGGAGTGTAAAATGATGCATCCACTACCAAAGGCAGTATGACGCTTTCTCAAAAAGCTGGAAATAGAAATACCATTTGACCCAGCAATTCCACTACTGGGAATATACCCTAAAGAAACCAGAACTGCCACCCAAATAGATATGTGTATACCTATGTTTATTGCTGTTTTGCTCACAATAGCAAAGAAATGGAAACAACCAAAGTACCCATCAACAAATAAATGGATAGAGAAACTGTGATATATATTCACACAATGGCTAACTACGCAGCACTGAAAAATAAAAAGCTCATAAAATATTATACAAAATGGGTGACCCTGGAGGATATAATGCTGAGTGAAATATCTCAATCACAAAATGACAAATACTGCACAATGCCACTTTATTAAACTGGACTGACATGTGGCTTGGAGGGAAACTAAGAAAGAGGGGATAAATAATGTACATGGTATTCAAACAAAGAGGGAAAAAATGTTTAAAAGGAATATATGATTAGGTATAATTCGCATGACAACAGTTCAGAATAAGAGCTGCATAGGAAAGTGGACTGGGGTGGGGGAGAAAATTGTGCAACAATGAAATAATTTTTTTCAAAGAAAAAAGTCAACTGGGAGGTGGGTAGGGAGGAAAATGTGTAACAATGAATGAATAGAAATTTAAATTCTCTATAAACTTTTGTTAAAAATCTCAGTTAAAGTTAAAAAAAAACCTGGAGGAAAAAAAGAATATAAGCTTGGGTATCAACGGTTTAGTTTGAGTACTGATTTCACCAATTGGTAAGCTGAGGAAATTCAAAGTTCTTTTTACTTTTTCCAAATAGAAAAGCAGAATGATCAATACCTACACCACACAAGGTTAGTGTGAGGATTAAAAGAGTTAATATATAGCATTCAAAACAACTTCTGCAGTACAATAAATATACAAGAAATGCTGCTGTTGTTGTTATGTACCATCAAGTTAGAACCAACTCACTGTTGAATGTCCAATGGATTTTCGGAGGCAGTAAATCCCACAGGAGGAGACTGCTGCTTCTAGCAGGTGAATTCAAACCATGTGCCTTTGGGTTGCTATGAAAAATAGATCTGAACCTTGCCTTATCCTATTTATAAATACAATTGTTGTTCTTGTTAGGTGTCATCGAGTATGACTCATAGTGGCCCTATGAACAATAGATCTGAACCCTTGTCCTATCCTGAGCCATGCTCACAGTCTCTGACACACTCGCACCCACTGCTATAGTCACTATGTCAATTTATCTGAATAAGGGTCTTCCTATCCTTTTCTGTCCTTCCACCCTTCCAACCATGATGTCCTTCTCCAAAGAATATCCTCTCCAAGCAACATGCCCAAAGTGTGTAAAATGAAGTTTCACCATACTTGTCTCCAAGGAGCATTCTGGCTGCATCAAATTTAAACATTATACACTTACATATATTCTAAAAGAGCTCCAGTAATTCTTCAGTACAATATTGAAACAGTAAGTTCTCTCATAAAATACTATAATATATAGACATACATATATTTAGAGGTGTGTGTATACATGTTTACAAATTACACAAATATTAGATATAGTACATATACATTACATACACATATTTAATTATACAGACTAATTTACACATGTACATAAACTGATGTTAAAATACTACTCTGAAGGCTTTAGTTCGTCCAGTACAATAGAGGAAGATATAAAGGCAAGTATATCATATGATGAATACTGTTTCAAATACCTTTTATTATTATAAGGTTTATTTTCACAGATTTCAGGTGACAAGTAGTATGGGGTCCCTATGCAAGTGCGAGCCAACTCTACAGTACTAGAACAAAAAGAGAATTATTGTATAAGTTTCAAATTCTGAACAGATTTTTTTTTAAATTCCCACCCCAACACATGACCTGCATTTTAATTTTGTATATTTTTTTTACACTCTCACTTATACCTGCTTCTGTGTTTTTAAATGGGCTGAGGCTGGCCCCAGGGAATTGCATTTTTCACTGGGCCCTAAAACTTGTCATAAACCTTGGAAACTCCCGTTTTTCCCTCTCTCTCCAGCCCAAGCATGTTGCCAGGCCCGCCCTCCCTCCACCTCAGCTCATCCCCTCCCAAGGAAGGGATATTTTATAAATGATCAGATATCATAATCATTTATCAGATCAGGTTTTCTTACTTTTATCTTTATTCAAATTAAGGCATTATAGCTATGCAAAGTTTTTAAGACATCTATTACCTATTTAGAACTCTAGCAATTCCAAAATCACCAAGTTGTACCGTCCCATCTTTGGTTAAAAATATGTTCTGTAAAAGATTACAACAGAATTATGTTACAATTATTTTTAAGCCAATACAATTCAAAAGAAATCCACATGTAAATAATCTTCATTTCATTCTAGACACAAAAACTCATAATGGAGTATACCTATGTAGGAACACTACGAAACTTTTAGAAAAAATATAAGAGTAAATCTCTGTGCCCTTAAATTAGGCAATGATTCACCTAAAAGCATAAATGAGGGGGAAAAAAATCTCAAAACTGAACTTAAGATGAAAAATTTTATACATCAAGCGCACACCATCAAGAAAATGGGAGAAATCCACAGAATGAAAGTATTTCAAATCACATCTGACAAGGGACTTGTATCCAGAAACTTTACAATTCAACAATAAAAAGTCAAAAAGTTCAATTATAAAATTAACAAAGGCAACATTGTATCATTCTACTTATATGAGCTAAAGTTGCCAATATCAAGATACAAAAGTAGTGATTAACAAAGTGCAGTGTTAATGGCTTATTGTTCAAAATGGCTTCCTTAGAGATCTGACTTCAAATTTGCCAAGTGGATGGGTGGACATATGTGAACAAGATGTGTTAGCCTATTCATAAGGGCATTGGCTAGTCCTGCCATTAAACTGAGTAGATTCAGCTGGAGAATTGGAGGATCTTCCCCAAAATCAAAGAAGCATGAGAATGTAGCTCGTCCTTCGGGACCACAGATTCTTGTAGCAGTCCTACTAAGGCCTATGAGAGGAGCAGCCCAAGCAGCTACAGCAGAGAACCAGAGACAAGACATGAGAAGGAGTGGATCTTGGGACTGCTACTCCACACAGAACCAAATCTAAAAGCCTTTGCTCAAGTCTTTTGGGCATCTTGCCATAAGCGGCAAGACTGACAGCTTTGTAACATTGGCCTAAAGCTGTGAGGCTGAGGTGATAGTGAGCATATTTTGGAAACTGTTCTGACAAGCATTCTGCTACTATAACCTGAAATCACCCTTTTGACTTCTCTAACACAGTTTTCTGTACACTGGATTTTGGGCCCAGTAAAGCAGTAAGATTGGTATTAGGATGAACAGAAAAGGTGTGGGAGCAGGGGGACAAGTCTGACGTCATGGGAATTGTCTGTGTTGCTGATGTTGCTAACAAGGAGCGTTTCCCTTTGTGAAGTAGGTCAAGGTCAGATGTGGCCATCCCCATGCAGCCCTTACTTTTACACAGAGCCTTTGGGAGAGGTAAGTGAAAAATGACTGCTATTAGATAGAAAATTTGGTTTTGGAATCATGAAAATGTTCTGGAATTAAACAGTGGTGAGGCTTTCACAACCTCATAAATACACTAAAAATCACCAAAGTGTACATTTTAAATGTGTTTTATGGTATGTGAAATATATCTGCATGCAGCTTTCTTAAAAATTAAATTAGATCTTCTCCTAAAAATAAATTTCTAACTAGCCTAAATGTAACAAATCAACCTTAATTGTTCCAATAATTTATCCAATTACTTTGCGTTCATAAATGTACAACTCCAGAGCTCTACAAACCACTGGAAGCCAGGAGTGTGTTGAATAACAAGTACTCCAATCACTCAGGAGATGTAAAGCAGGCAACTGTTCAATACCGAAAATGAGCCAGTGGAGTTAACTGAGATAAGTAAGATGCAATGACATAGGATTAGATAGTGCAAAGGGTCTGGAAGGAATGGGAGTATGGTGTTACCATCATAGTTCCTTTCTTTCCTCTTTTTCCTGGGGTCCGGGTTTCATAAGAATTTTAAAAAATAAGTAAGTAAACACAATCCTTACATCAGGAACCAAAGTGCCTCTTCACTTCCACTCTAGGAATCAAGAGGATTCAACCAAGGGGGAGGCAAGGCAACCACCACTAACTAAACTGCCAAATAAATCAATGTATAAATGAAATCCTCCCAATAAAAGCGCTTGCTTAAAAAAAATTTTTAAAAATCTGATACACATGAAGAAATCTAATGAGTTAAAACAGCCAATAAAATCAACAACCTGAACAAATATTCACTAGATAGAATTCATTTAAAAAAAAAAAATCCAGTAATAACTTTAAGCAGTTACAAATGATAAAAAGTGGTAAATAAAGTATTGTCCAGTTAGTGAAACCAAAACTAGGCACAAATAATACAGAAATATGAAAAATATTAGAATGCTTGAAGAAAAAAGGAATCATTACAACAACAAAGTAAACTGACAGATACATATTTAACAAAGCTGAATAGGGATATAATGCAAAAACATGCAAGCTGATGAATTTTTCTACAATGCAATAAAGACAGAGATAAGATAGGAAAGGTCAAATAAGATACTTTAAGAGATCGATTATGAAATTCCACTATGCCCTAAGAGATTCTAAAAAAAAAAAAAAATTCAGAGAAAGGGGGAAAAACCCTGTATTTGAAAATTAATAGCTGAACATTTAAAAAAAAACAAAGAAACGTGTATTCTTAAGTCAAAAGTACACAACATAATGAAAGACAACTGAACTTCACGACATTATAACACTGGAAACAAGGATAAATTACAATGGCTTTAAATATTTAAAGAAACACTAGAAGCCAAATGACAAGTGAGCAGTATCTTCGAATTTCTGTAGGTAACCAATAAAAATAACTTCAGACATGTAATATATGTGCAACAGCAATATACCAAAAAATAGTGTGTGAGAGTGTGTGTGTGTGTGAGTGTTTGTACAAAATCCACCTGCTGCTCCACAGAAAAATGACAGGAAATCTCCTCCTGTGTAATTAACTGTCTCTGAAAATCTGTGAGAGGGTCAGGTATGGGTCAGTTCTGACTCAAAGGTACACAAAACAACTTGCTTTTTAAAAATTTATTTCATCATAACAAAGCACTAAAAGAACAAGAAAATAAAAAATCTAACACAGGGCACAAGGGCAAAAGATTTCTAGGGCTATAGCAAGGGGAGGTGGCCTAGTGGTAAGAAGCTGTGCTGCAGTCCCAGAGGCACTCAGCTCAAACCCACAAGCTGCTCTGCAAGACAAGGATGGACAATCTTGTCACGTGTGATTAACTGCCTCTAAAAACCTGCTGGTGGTTAGCTATGAATTGGTTCCAACTTGCTGGCATACAATAACAACAAAAAGCAAGGGAAGGAGGAAAGGACATAATTATAGGAAAAGCAAAACTTTCTGATCCAAGACAATGTAGACTTTATTCCTTTATCCATTAAGAAGTTATAAGTGACAAGCATACCTGTGATTTTATGTCTCGATGAAGAATTTTTCTATCATGTACATGTTTCAGGGCCAAACATATCTGTACAAACCAGTCCAAAATCTAAAGGGGGGGAAATTATGATTATCATTTCTTCTAAAGTTTACAGTTAATAGCAAATCAAAGGAGAGCAAAACAATTTTCCTTAATCATTGAAAGTATTTATGAATATTGGCTTTTGAAGGGAAGTTCCTTAAAATAATACTTTTATGTTAGAGCCTATTTTTCATGTACAGCCACTCACATTAATAGAAAGAATCCTCGGTTTAAGTGTTTGGTTGTAAACCAAGAAATCAGCAGTCTGAATCCATCAGGCTCTAGTCAGTAAAGAAGTGTGACTATTTCTATAAAGATTACAGCCTTAGAAACCCTGCCAGGCAGTTCTCTATACTATAAGGTTGCTTAGTCCGGACCAACCTGATGGCAACAGAGATTTTTTTTTTTGGATTGTTATCATTAAACAAAAAGAGCTCTGGTGGCTTAGTGGTAAGAAGCTGCACTGTAATCCCAAAGACACACAGTTCAAATCCACCAATTGCTCCACAGGAGAAGGATGAATTGGAGAAGGATGGGCAATCTCCCGCCATGAGATTATATGCTTCTGAAAACTTGCTGGAGGATCAACTATGGATTAGTTCCAACTCCATGGTATTCAACAATATCATTAAGTAGTCTCAAGATAAATGGCCCCAGAGGTGCGCGGTTCAAATCCACCAGATGCTTTGCTGGAGAAGGAGGAACAATCTCCTCCTGTACCAGTCAGATCTGATTTGACGGTACACAAAAAAAATAGTAAAATAAAAAAAATTAAAAAGAAAAGATAAATGGCATGCAGTATGTGCAGAGTAAATTCTAACTCTAAAACATAAAAGTGCTATTGAAGCACAGCTTACAAATCAAAGAAACTTTTAGAGAAGAGTACAAAATGGAAATAATTTATACAATAGTAATATGATTATGGATGACTTCATTATTTTATATGTTTCTACAATTTTTTAAATCTTAAAAAAATAACAAGAGGGGGGAAAAAACAAGCTGAAAATTTGGAATGCATCTCTGGCTCACCCCATCCACCACCCCCTGAACTCTCACATTTACCAAATACTAATAATATGTCCTGTAGTTGAGCATTTGGAAACACAAAGGTTCAGTCTTTACCTCACTTCTAATCCTGGAAATAAGCAGAACTTGCTCATACTTGCTTGGGTTCTCCCTTTCTCTCTCAGTGCCACCAAGTCAGAACTCGCTCACAGCTGACCCTCCAATGAATTTTTGAGACTGTAAATCACATGAAAGGAAACTGCTTATCTTTGTCTCTCAGATTTGCTAGCAATGTCAAACCACCAGAGAGGCAATTTTGGGGTTAGCAGAGCAACTGCTTACAGACTACACCACCACAGGTCCCTGAGTATAACTAGTCTATGATTACTTTGTACAGTATTACGTGAAGGCAAAGCACATTCAAAGATTGTATGGGAGAATGTACTTTTTCATCTCATTGTTTATACTACTAAATGATAGTCACAAACTTAGTTAAGTTCCTTACGAACTTGTAGATTTTTTTCTGATACTAACAAAGGAGTATCACTAAAGAGAATTATTTGAGTATTCAGAGACTATTTTGTTATCTGTCTTCCTATGCCCCACCTAAATTCTAGAAGTGGACAACTCCTTCTCAATTGATGCTAAGCTTTACCACAAAATATAATTGGCCTCTACCCTTTTAAGTTTTTCTGATTTAAAGTGAAAAGAGCAGAGGGATGTTTTTACTTAAATGGCTTTTCTTATTTCAAGTCCAACTGAAACTCATTGCTGTTGAACTGGTTCCAATTCGTAGCTAACCCTCCAGCAGGTTTCAAAGTCTGAAAATCACACAGATGGAGACTTCTCCCCTTTGTCCTAAGAAGAGGAGTTAGCTAAGCAAGTGCCACTTCTAGGTTAGCAGCACAACTCCCTATGTACATACCTGGTTATGGACACCAAATAAATAATATCTTTAATTGTGTTAACAACACCCATTAGTAAAAATAATAACAACACTATTAACTGAAAAGGAGGAATTACCAATTTTTTATATTCTATAGATAATCTCAGAGATGCACAAAATGATATAGATCTCTATAGTAATTTCTAAAATTAAAAGGTTCACAACACACACACAAATGCCACTATATACAATGATATTTTGTCTTAGAGTAGAATCACTAACAATGTACTTTACAATGGAAAGTTTCAGCATTTTGCAGCATATCCAGTGAGAAGAAGCACAAGTAATAAGATGCTAATAAAAACAGCACTTCATACATTAGCATGCATTACCATTTGACCATCACCAGAATAGTAAACCATGCCATATGGTAAACACATACCCATTAATTAACAAGTATATAATTTAAAAACAGTTCAGTAACTTGTTTACAATCACTAAGGTTACAAGCAGTAGAATGAACAAGAACGCAATCTAAATTTTTTACTTCAAATTCTATGCTCTCTCCAGTGGGCATAACTGCAAACAAATGAGGTTAAGTAAAGCTTGAGAAATATGACTTGACATTGTTGTTGTTAGATGCCGTCTAGTCAGCATATAGCAACCCCAAAAGAATGAAACTATGCCCAATCCTGCACCATCCTTACAACCTCTGTTGTGCTTAAGCCCACTAATCCAATCACTACACATCATCTTATTCAGGGTCTTTCTTTCACTGACTAACAATGTTTCCAATTGCATGTCCTTTTCCAGACATGCTATACTTAGGAGAAAAGTAAAATGAGAGGAAAAAAGTACAATCCTGTAGATACTTTCTTTAAAAAGTATACAAAATAATGATCAATCTTTTGCAAAAATGCATACACATATTAATTAAACATATTGGTATGGCTGTTTTGAAGGAGAAGGAAAATTAAATATGACAATATAAAGGGGAAAGAGTAGGTTTTGTTGAAATGGAATATAATGCAAGAGACCGTGGTGGTATCACGGTTATAGTCTCCAGCTACTAATTAAAAGATCCATTCCTCAGCTTCTGTGAAGATTACTGTACATAAAGAAAAAGGGAGGGGTGAGTGTTTACCATGCTAGAAAAAATGGATTTGATGTTTTAATTTTATAATCTTGTAAGCAATCCAGTTTCTCTTTTCTTTTTTTTTCAGTTTCCCTTTTCAATAGATAAAGAATCTAAAGGAACTTAAGGAACTTGTCCCAAATCACAAAGGATTTGAATCTACTTTTTTCTAACTACAAAGTCAGTGAAATTTTCTTTTTACAAATATCATCAGATAATTAAGGATGAAAATATTCTTTTTTTTTTTTAACGCTTCACGAATTTGCGTGTCATCCTTGTGCAGGGGCCATGCTAATCTTCTCTGTATCGTTCCAATTTTAGTATATGTGCTGCCGAAGCAGCACGAAAATATTCTTTTCTCACTAGTCCACCCTTCAGTGGTTCAGTTTGGTAACTTCCTTCAGTGATTCAGTTTGGTAAATTCCTGCAGATTTTCTTCCACACATGTATACCTACATAAAGTCTGGACATATACACTAAAACCTATATAATATATACACTTATTATACAGATTATACTGCATTTCACGTAAAAATTTACATTGGCCTTTGCATTGCCAGACAAATTACAAAAATTAGTTATTATTTCAATTCTTTTTATTTTGATAACTACATTACATTACAAACACCAAAACTAAACTCACTGCCACCAAGTCAATTCTGACTTACAGAAATCACCAGAAAGTAAAATTGCCCCACAGTGTTTCCAAAGCTGGAACCTTAGGGAATCAGACTGCCACATCTTTCTCCAGTAATATAACTCATGGGCTCAAATCATCGATCCACCTTTCAGTTAGGAGCCAAGTGCTCAGCCACTGCACAACCAAGGTTTCCAAACAGAACATATAAAACAGAATACATACTAATTGTATCAAAATCATTAGAGACTAGAAATGAAGAAAGTGGGGGAACTGAACTATGGTGAAAGCTAATGAGAACAGAAATGTGCCTGATGAAATAATGGATACAATACTGATATATCCTGATGATTAAAATTAGCATTTGTGGATAAATATACACATAAACTTGAAATGAGTTTCCTACTTAACTACTTCTCAGTAAAACTATAAAGTGTAAGTCAATATCTGCATATCTTACTTGATCTTCTTGAAACAAAATGCCTTTCTGAGCATTTATTCGTTTAAACAGATCCCCTCCTTCACAGTAATCCATCACTATGTAGAGGGAGCCATTTTCTACAAAATAGAAACATTACATGTCACTTTCTAAAACTGTGTATCAAAGGCATAGCTAAATCAAAAGTACTTAAACATTTTCTAAAGATAATAGCTAAATAATAAAAATAACACCATACTAAGAAGAATTAGGAAGCAAAGACCAGATACATAAGTCATACAATAGCGTTGGTTAACAAGCAACTCTATCACAAATAGTTTTTCTACCAAGAATATACTATTTAGTTGGAAACTGATGGTGTCTACACTGACCTCAACATCAATGGGATATAAACATTTAAAAAGAATGTTTCAATTAACTGAACTGAGTACACAGAATTACTTACTTGAATGAATTCAGTAGACTTCTTTAAAAGTGGAGTACAGAATTATGTTTTCCTACCTACCTTTCAGATATGAGTTATTTTTAGCTTTTTTGCTAAACCCACTTATTTACTTGTAACCAAATATGGTAATATTTAAGTGTTGTGATGAACTCTGGATTCAATAGAAAGTTACAGACAGTCTCTAAAGATTTCTCTGACTTTTTCACACCATTTCTATGTGTATATACCACTGGGCCAAATGGCAGCACTGTGATAGATGGAGAAGAGATTGAGTTTGTTTACAATTACAGCTTCCTTGGCTCCACAATCAACATTCTTAACACCTGCAGTCTGGAAATCAGAAGACAAACAGCATTGAGAAAATCTACTGTCAGGGATCTCTCCAGAGTGCTGAAAAGCAACAATGTCCATCTAGAGACTCAGGTGCATGTAAAACCCAAGCGGTGGTCTTCGCAATTACTTGTTATGCTTCAAAGAGCTGGACAATCACTAAGAATGACAGAAGAATAATCGATGCCTTTAAGATGTGGTGCTGGAGAAGAGTCACGGACTGCCAAGAACACAAATAGGTCTGTCTTGTAGAGGGTGAAGCAAAGTCTTTCCTTGGAAGCTAGAATTCTGAAGCTCCGGCTCACATACTTTGGGCACAGGGCCAGGAGGGATGGGTCCTTGGAGATGGACATCATGCTTGGAAGGGTGGAGGGACAGCACAGGAGGGGAAGACTCCGAATGAAATGGATTGACACAATAAATGAGACAACGGGGGTTAGTGTGTCAGAATTAGTGAAGCTGGCTCAGGACAGGCTTCAGAGCTATTGTACATAGGGTCACTATGTACGACAGGTGACTTGCCAGAACATAACATAATATGTGGACAAACATGAATATATGAAACTGTCCTATTAACCTTTATCTTTTGGTCCACAAAATACTTCCACACTCTGCCCATGACTGGACAACATTAGAGTATTTCTCTCAAGGTGTTGTCAATACCACTTCTAACATCTAATAAATCCCACATCTATCATCTACTAAATCACTACATACTAGTAGAACTATAACAAATGGAGACTAAGGTGTGCCTGATCCAGGCTATAGTCTTTGCAATTGTGTGCTATGCATCAGAGAGCTGAACAGTGACTAGGGATTATAGAAAGAGAATTGATGCCTTTGAGCTCTGGTGCTGGATAAGAGTGCTGAATATACCATGGACTGCTAAGAAAACAAATAGGTTTGTCCTGGAGAGGACATACTTTGGGCATGTTGCAAGGAGAAACCAGTCTTTGGAGAGGGACATCATGTTTGGGTGAGTGAAGTGACAGCACAGGAGAGGAAGACTCTCAATGAGATGGAATGATTCAGTGATTGGGGTCGTGGGAGTAGGTGTGTCGGAGACAATGAGATTGACAAAGGACAGAGCAGGGTTTAGGGCTCTTGTACATAGGGTCACTATGAGTCACAAGTGACTTGATGGCACATAACAACAACATATAGCAGAGCCAAGAGGGACAAAGCAAAATAAAATTCTTAATTATAAACATACTGAGGAAATGAGTTGCTGGTCCAAAGGCCTCCACATCACTGTCTAAGAACACAGTTCACAAAGAAAACATTCTTAAAAAAAAAACAACAAAAAAACATTCTATATCCTACTTCAATAAATAGCAACTGCGGTCTTAAAAGCTTATGTCATTTATACTACAACTACTGGTCTTTCACTGGAACAAAAAAAAAAAAACACACAACAACACAACACCATTAATATAATGGGACTCTTCTCACTTCTTATCTGCGAGAAGAGTACAATTACTATGAAGGACTAAGGAACCAGGTAAAACACAACCTTCAAGACTCAATCAGAAGCAGATGGTGCCTGATCCCCACTTCTAACTACTCTAAACAAAATTATAGAAGATGATCCAGGATAAAGTAGGGAGGATGGTGAAACAAACCCAGAAACACAAAAATGTCAATTTTAATGGTCTTAGTAGAAATTAGTGGCACTCCATAGAATATGGCCCTTTGTCATCATTCAGACCTGGAACAAAAAACTGTGGCTGAAGTTTCAGCCAAGCCAGCGGCTCAAACCCACTTAGCTGTTCCCTTGGAGAAAGGCAGGCATCTCCTCTCATTAACACTGAAAACTTTGGAAACCAACTGGAGGATCACTGGGAGTCAAAATCTAACACACAGCAGTGAGTACTGAATTGTAAATGGGAACTAACACCACCAGGGAGACGCTCACTCCTTAGAATAAGCAAACACAGAAGATCAAAAGAACAGCCCCAAAAGAAAAAAAAAAGAAGAAGAAGAGCACAAGGGTAAACTCTGTAAGACAGAAAGAGGTAGAAAAAAGCAGTAAAGGAAGTGAAAATAACAGGTAAGAAGTGAGAAGAGTACAATAATTACATTGTTGTGTATTTGAATTTATGTTCAACAACGTCAATCTTTTCTCCAACTGTAATGTTGTCTATTGGTATAGTTCTGAGGATTTTTATTTTATTGACATTCAACATTAAAGTCTTTCATAAAGATCAGTGTATATTTTGAGCCATCTTCACTTTCTGGGAAGAGGGCTGTGTTATCTCCATAATGTAGGTTATTAATGGTTCTTCCAGCAATACTGAAGCCAAATTTTTCTTCATATAATTCAGTTTCTCAAATTACTTGCTGTACATACATACTGAAGAGGTATGACAACCATGACATACACCTTTCCAAATAATGAAACCATGAAGTATTCACTTTTGCTATGTGAATGCCTGATTCTTGATCTATACACAGGTTTTCCATGAGTATTCTTATTTCCATTAAGTATTCTAGAACTACAATTTTTCTTACTATACATAATTTATTATTATACACATAGTCTAATGTCTTTACATACTTTTATTAGTCTACCACTGAGTCTACCAAAACTCCTATCAACCGTATGAACAACAGATCTGAACGCTGTCCTATTCTGTGCCATTTTTGTCATCTCCAAAATGCTCAAGCCCATTGTTAATGTTACTGGGTCAACCCATCTGATTTGAGAGTTGTCTTCTTTTTCTTAATATGCTACTTTTCCAAGCATGATGGCCTTTTCCAAGGACTAACACTATCTTACAAAATGCTCAGAATAAATGAGAATAAAGTTTCACCATCTTTGCTTCTAAGGAGATCCCAGGTTGCTCTTCCTCCAGTACAGACTTATTTGTTCTTTGGGCAATTCAAAAGAATACAACAATCTCTACCAACCCAGTTCAAAGGCATCAAGTCTTCTTCCTTATTCATTGTTCAACTCTGAGATGTACAGAAAGCAACTGAATATACAACGGCTTAGATCAGATGAACTTTAGTCTTTAAACCGATATCCTTGCTCTTAAGCATTTTAACAAGGTCCTTGACTACAGATTTTTCTCAGTGAAATACATCTTTTAATTTGCTGCTACCAAGAGTGTTGACTGTGGATCCAAGCTAAATGAGCTGATTATTCCCATTTCAATCTTTACTCCATCTACCACAGTGCAGTCTACTGATGTATTGGTGAAAGTTTTTGCTTTCTTGATGTTGGGAACTATATTGAAGACTATAATTTTTTTTTTTTGTTTCAAAAGCTGTCACCTTTATTGTGGACAACTGTCACATCTTTCTCAGGGGAAAGAATTGGTGGATTAAAAGTACTAAGTGTTTCAACCACTATGTCGTCAGGGTTCCTGGTTTTGTGATCAGACAACCAAGAGGATTCTTGCTGACACAAGAATTAAAGGCTCACCTACAATCTTAAATGATATCAAAGGATTCCACACATTATGGACAATAGGAAGTATTCTCTGTGTGGTCTTTGATGCAGTAGGAGGAATGACTTCTTCGTTGCAGTCTGTACCGAAGTCATTCCAATATAGGGTCTCTCTTCACTGAGTTCACTGATGACAAGTAAGCTTTGTCTTCTCAGTGAAACCTTTTCCATACTCCCTGCACACATAGGGCCTCTCCCCAGTGATTTTGTTCATGGACAGTGAGGGGTCTCTTCATGATGAACCCGCCACGTTTTGTGGCTAAGATCAGGAATGGAGTTTAAGATCACAAGTCCTACCTTAAGAGCCCCAGTCTGAGCAGGGAAGTGGCTTTCTCAGGTCATACAGTGAAAACAGGCCAGGTGTCTGCCTTCTTTACCTGGTCCTTAACAGCCTTGAGTGAGCTCGGGGATGCAATGGGCAGAAAACTGGGAGACTAAATTGAGATAGGAGCTGTGAAAGGAGTTCCCAGGTACTTCATTGTCCCAGCTCAAGATATAAATGAAGCTTCCCTCTGGAAGCGGAAAACCAAGGAGGCTTGCGCTGGACTATAATTCTTGATCACTTCTGGTTAAGTACTTCAATTGTTTTCATTTTCTGCAAGGAAGGTTATCAACTCCATAACTCAGACTGTGGATAAGTTTTTCTCCTATACTGATGCCACATTCTTCTTTATACACTGCAGCTTCTCAAATGATTCTCAGCACACAGAGTGAATAGGTATGGAGAAATGATACAACCCCAATACACACCTTTCCTGATTTTAAATGATGGAGGTTTCCCTTATTCTTTTTCAGACAAGTACTTCTTGGTCTAGGTTTCAGATAAGTACAATTATGTGTTCTGGAATTCCCATTTTTCTCAATTTTATCCATCACTTGTTATAATCTACAAA